GAGAGGTCCGCGTGGAGCTGGCTGCGCTCTCTGGTCTCCGCTAAATGCCGCCACCCCCCTGAGGAGGGCAGGCCGCTTGTCACCAACACTGCCTCCGCAGTGGCTGTCCCCGCGTCGCTGCCGTCAGGGTCGGTGCCACTCCCGAGTCACCTCCTGGGGACACCTCCCACCCCACCCTCAGGTCTCGTGTTGCCCAAGCCTCATCCAAGGTTACAGCCACTCCACGTCCTTGTGGGGACACTCCCTGCCTCAGAGAGGAAATTAAAATGCTGCCCGTGTGTGCTTTGTCCATGGGACACCGGCAGGAGGGGGCAGGACTGCATCTTTATCGGTTACCCCCCGGGACGGCCGCGTTTCTCATCTGCTCCGTTCGCGGCTGGCCCTGCAGTGAAAACTGAATGTTAAGCAAAGAGAAACTCAAGCTTTTAAATCTCTTCAACTTCCGAAAAGCTGTCCCCAAGGTCCCCTGCCTTCGGCCCAAGCAAAGGTCTGTCTTTGCTGATGACGCCAAGTTGCGGTTTCTGGGAAGGATAATTTCAGCATCATTTTTGAAATTTGACGATACAGAGAGATCCAGAGAAGAAACCTGCTGTCACCAATATTCTCACCGTAAGAATTAACCACAGTTAACATTTGAGCGTATTTGCTTCAAGTCATTTTTGCCTTGGTTTATACTTTAAGAAATGATACAAGATTGAAGGAGGGGACAGCTCAGTGGTGGAGCGCATGGTTCCATCCCCAGGACCTCTGTTAAAAGAAGAAGAAAAGAAATGATACAAGTAATAGGTGGAAACCATATTCTTTTTTTTAAAAAGTAAAACATTATCAAAAAGCAAACACGTAAAAGACTTTCACATCTCGTCCTGGTCTCCTTCCCTCTCCGAGGGGGCGTTTCCCCAATAATTTGTGTATAATTTATGGTCATGTCCACAGAAAACGCAGGCTCTTCTTTTGCTTCGTGCCCCTGGCACCATCACTCCACGTTACACGTTGCATGTTATGCATCTGTGTTTCCCCCATGCGGACACGTGTTGCTTCTGACTGATGTAAGAGCCCTGTCGTGTTTGTGTCTGACACGTTGCATTCATCCAGGCCCCCAGGGGACATCGGGTGACTTCAGAATGTTCTCTGTCTGATGTCACTGTCATCTGTCACTCAGTAAGTAGCCCAGATGCCCCGCTGTGCATGCAGCTCCAGATTCCCTAGACGAGGGATGCTGGGCTGCAGGACTGGCGCATTCCTTTTTTTTTTCTTTTTTAATTGAAGTGTAGTTGACGTACAACGTTGTCTTAGTTTTGGGAGGACAGCAAAGTGACTCATGTATATACAGACATGTATATACACACATATGCATTCTTTTTCTGATTCTTTTCCACTAAGGTCATTACAAGATAGTGAATATAGCTCCCTGTGCTCTACAGCAGGACCTTGTCGTTTATCTGTTTTATATATAGTAACGTGCACCTGTTAATCCCAAACTCCTAATTTATCCCCCCTTGCCCCTTGCCCCTCTGGTAACCAGAGTTTGTCTTCTATGTCTGTGAGTCTGTTTCTGGTTTGTAAATAAGTTCATTTCTATCACTTTTTTTAAGATTCTACATATGAGAGATATCATATGGTATTTGTCTTTCTCTGTTTGACTTACTTCACTTAGAATGACGATCTCCAGGTCCGTCCATGTTGCTGCAAATGGCATTATTTGATTCTTTTTTATGGCTGAGTAGTATTCCATTGTATAGATATACCTCAACTTCTTTATCCAGTCATCTACTGATGGACACTTAGGTGGCTTCTGTGTTTTGGCTGTTGTATATAGTGCTGCTATGAACATTGGGGTGCAGGTGTCTTTTCAAATTAGAGCTTTCATCTTTTCCGGATATATGCCGAAGTGGTTATACCATTTTCCTCTAAGGAAACAAATCTTGCTTCCTTGTGGCCTGACTGACAGCAGGCACATTCTACTCTCGTCAGCCCAATGGGTGAGAACACAGTCTCAGCTCACGGGCCAAGGGGGGCTATTGCGTCCCGCTGACCACTTCTCCTGTGTCCTCAGCTCCGGAGAAGGCATCTGGTCGAACCAGGGCTGTGCTCTCACGGAAGGGAACCTCAGCTACTCCACCTGCTGCTGCACACACCTCACCAACTTCGCCATCCTGATGCAGGTGGTCCCACTGGAGGTGAGCGCCGGGCAGCGGGAGGTCCTGGACCACGGGGTGGGGGTGCCCTTCCTCTGTCAGTCTGCAGTAGGGCCGGGTGGCCGGTCTCTGAGAGACCTGACTTCCAGGGGCAGCGTTAGCCCTGTGGTTGAGGGGGGCTGCCCACCGCCTTCTGGGTCCCCCTCTCTAAACAGGGCCAGGACAGCGACCCTAGCCGCAGGTTAAGGAGGGAAGAGGCCCCTCCTCGCTGGGCTTCTCTGCTTCAGAATATTTAACTTTTATCACCTGCTGGGTCAGCACTAGAGATGACTTTCTTTGGTTCAAAGCAAGCATAGCTGGTAAGGGAAGGAAAAGATGCTCTTCAAGATGCCCCTGGGGCGCCTCCCTGACACCGGGGTGTGAATGCCTTCCTTGGCTCCTAGGCCCCCAGAGGCAGATGAGCTTCCTGGTGGGGGCGGAGAGCAAGGAGGGGGCAGGGCTTCCCCCAGGATTCCCTGTGCAGGGGAGCTGGGTACCTCGAGGCAAGTTTGGTTTCGTCCCACGTTGAGCTGTGGAAACTGGAACATTGACGTGTGACTCTGGGTTTCTGGCTTCTCTTGAAGATTCAGAGGGTTTGGTGCTGCAGAGCCAGAGTTTTTACTGGGAGTGGTGGGGCCAGAGCTGGGTGGGGCTGTCCTCCCCCGTCAGCCGGGCTGAGCCCTCCGCCGGCCACTTGTCAGGAAGGGGCCCTGATCTCCCACCTCCATGTGCCTCCATGAAGGGAGCGGGCGGTGGCGGGTGGGAGATGGGGGCGCTTGCTGCCGCCGAGTCACCTTTGCTGTGTGACCCGCTCTGGCAAACCCGCTCCTGTGACGGGGCTAGGGGCCCCACCCGCTCCGCGGGGCCTGTGTGTCTATGACAGACTCTGTTGCCCGGGGTTTCGTAGTCCAGGGGCTGCATCTGTTGGACATCAGCAAATGTCTGGCGAGCATACGATGCATCAGGTTTGTGCACGATGCTGTGATTCCGGTAGTGACACCGAGACTGCGGCCGGGCTTCCCCTGAGGACTGATTCCGCATCCGCCATCGTTCAGCAAATACTTACCTGGCACCCACAGGTGGGCCGGGCCGGGGGGTTTACTTGTGAACAAGAGACACAATGTCTATAAGAAAGACAGACAAACAAATGAGCAATAAGTAGGTAATTTCAGATAGCAGTAAGGGTGGGCGGGACACTGGAGAGAGGGACGGAGGAGGAGGGCGCCTTTCCAGGATGTGGTCCGGGGAGGTGTCTCCGAGGAAGTGACACCTGGATGGCCACCAGCGGCTGCTCACCAGCAGCCCCGGGGGAAGCATACTCCAGGCTGAGAAGGGGCAAGCGCGGGGTGGGAGGTAGATGAGGAGGGGGCGGTGGGCGGCAGGCGGCGAGCACGAGGGATCTTCACGTTTGCCGAGAGCAGGTGGCTGCTACGAGGAGCCTGGAGTACCTGTGGAGGCTCCAGACAGGTTCCCAGGGATGCTGGGCGGGGGGGGGTGTGTGTGCTGCGCCACCCTCTCCCCCCCGCCCCACCCCGCCCGCTCCCGCTTAGCCGCACCCAGCGCTGTTGCTCTGGACGGAGGCCCCTTTGCTCTGCCTGTGCCAACGCTTCAAGTGAGGGTGGGGTGTGCAGACATCCCGGCAGCCCCTCAGCTGGCGTGGCCGGGGGAGGGCGGGCGCGGCCTGGGGTCCCGACGGCGGGTGGAGAGAAGCCAGGCACTCGCGTCGGGTCCTTCAGGCCATGAGCTCTTAGGGTCCCGAACCCACGGCTCTTCATAGACTTGAAGGGTGCAGGCCCCCGGCCCCCAACGCCCTTGGTGGAGTCTCTGTTCAGGCAGGTGTGACCCCCAAGCACCCCTGGGGGAGCAGTTTTTGAAGGAGTGACATCGAGGGGCAGCTGCCTGTTGAGTAACTGGCACCCCGTCCCCTTTAGCTGCCGTCCTTGCCGCGTGCTCAGCCAGACCCCCTTCTCTCGCTGTCCCGAGCTCCTGCATCCTGGACCGCGGTGCACACTGGGTTGTGACCCACTGGTGGCTGAGGAGATCGGTGTGGTGGGCTGTCACTAGTAATTTAAAGAAAAATGGCATAAGATGGACCACGTACCAGGGAGCCCTGAAGGGGGCAGGTGGGTCCCTGTCCGTGAGCCCCAGCGTCAGTTACCCCGACTGCACGAGATGCTCCTTCTCCTGGTCCATCCGCTCCATCGCTCCCGCCGCCGTCCCTGCTGGTCCTAGTCCGCGGTCACGACATCGCTCCTGTCTCCTAGCTCGGGCCCCCCAGGATGAGGAGCAGGGCCTCCGTGAGGCTCACGCCCCCACCTCCGCCTGCGCACAGGCCCCCCCTGTCCTCCCTTCCGCCGGGGCCTCGGCCCGGGGCTCACCCGGCTCCCCTCTGGTGTCTGGGAGGGGGGAGTCCAGCCACTCACTTTAGAAGAGGCGCCGCGCTGCCGCCATGCGGATCCTACGGCAGCAGGGCTGGGAGGGTCCGCGTGGTCCTGTGCCCGAGGCCTCTGCCTGGCGGGTGGAGGAAATGAGACCTGGAGGGCGGGGTGGCCTGGCCTGTGGTTGTTCACCCTCTATCAACAAAACATGGAATTCTTGGCAAACCCTAGGCTTCGTAGACGTTATTCAGGAAAAATCACGGTGCTCGTGACCTTGAGTTGGGGGGAGGGCAGAGCCATGCCGACGGGGACCCCTGAGCAGGGGCAGCGCGGAGGCGGATGTGGCCCCCGGAAGGGTGCAGGGGGCTTCAGACACAAAACGTCCGGGGGGGCAGAGGCGGCAGATGCGGTGGGAGTGGGGAACCGTCGCGGCCGGTGGGGACGTGGGGAGCTGAGATCCCCACCCCGTGGACAGGGCAGCCCGGCAGATCAGACTTGGTGCTGCCCCCTCCTTGAGAAAAGCTGGAGGCTGGTTTTGTGCAGAATCTCCTGGTGTTTAGACGCGGCCTTAACTCTTCTGTCCAGGCCTCGTGTGAGGGGTGTGGCCGTGGGCGGGCCTGGTCCGGTGTCCCAGGACCGGCAGCCCTCCCAGCGCGCGCTCAGGAACCACCAGCTCTTGTGAGGATGCTGACTTCGGCTCCGCGGGTCTGAGTGGGGCCTGGGTCCTTCCTTCTCGCAGAGCCCGGGTGGTGCCCAGGCACTGCTGGCCCCTGACCACGCTCTGAGTACACCCTAGACACACGCACCTCGTCTGTAAAAGTCAGGTCAGGCTTCCAGTTCACGTCCGGTTACAATGGCCGGCCGATTGTTCCAGATTTGAAGGGACAGCGCATGAGGGCTGGTCTGATTCCAGATGTGTGCTCAGTACAGGTGGGAACGTGACCCAGTTTGGGGGTCTGCAGGAGGTAAGTTGCAGAGCAAGCCTGTCAGACTGCCTTTTGGGAGAGGAGTTCCAGGGACGCAGCAAACAGAACACGGTTTAAAACGAGCCGCAGTCGCAGAGCCTGCAGGGCAGGTGTTCTGCCCGTGGGCGTGGCCATCGATGCTCCTCCCACGAAGGCAGCTCTGGAGGGTGGGCACTGGGGGTCACTGGAGGCGGCACGGAACAGACCACCTGTTGGTGCAGTGAGGACAGGACAGGCACCGTTTCGGGGTCTCTTCTCTCCTTCCGGCCTCGCCATGTGGAGGGGGCACTGTCCCCATCGCCATCACAGGTGAGAGTCTGGGGACGTCCCCAAGGTCCCCAGGCAGTGGAGTCTGGACTTGAGCTCTGCTCTCAAATCCCAAAGCTCAGGCTGGTGGCCGTGCCCCTGGACGGCCCGCGAGCAGAGCAGCTTCCTCTGCGTCCTTCACACACCGAGGACTGAATCCGGCTTACTCTCTGACGCAGGTGGGTCTGCTGGCCGGCGGGAGTGGGCCGAGGGGCCCGACACTCTCAGGAAGCTGTGTTTGTGCATGTGGGAGGGGGCATGGGAGGCAGCTCAGTCCAGCGAGCTAAAAACATCCGGAGTCACAGAGCGGCTGTGATTATAGACCTGTGACCGCCCAGCAGGGACGCCAGATTTAGACTGTCTGTGGGTGTCTTCGTGGAAGCAAATCATAGCTACTCATTGCCAGGAAAGGTCGAGTTTGAAATGGCTTAAAATTATTCATGCTAAAAATGAACAAAACAAAAGCTAAGGCAGTTATCACAAGTAGACGGCAAATCCGTAGTACGTTTGGAGCGTTAATAAAAACAGCACCAGCGCCTTGTTTCCCTGATGAGTCTGCATCCTCCGGAGCCCCGCCAAGGTGAGCGGGAAACGGGCCTGGGCCCCCTCCGTCCCGTGCGAATCCTGATTGTGGACACTCAGGATGGCCCGTTGGGACCCTCGTGCGGCCCAGCACATCTGGCCACTCGACTGTGACTGTTTCGTTGTCTTTTACTTAACCCGTCCTTACCTCCTTCTCTGATTAAAAACATCATAGTTAATACTTAGCTAGTACGTACACCTTCAAAAACCTCAAGCTGTCAAAGGTATTTGAGTGAAGTCTTTCTCCCGCCACGTCTGCCTCCTAATTCCACTCCTGTGAAACCACGGCTGTTACAGCGTCTCACGCCTCCTCTGTCCAGGTGTGAGTCGTGCCCTGGCCCCAGGGCCGTCCCTGCAGACGGGGCGTCAGGCCTCCTCCCTGCCCCGCAGTTTGCTCCGTGGTTGCCCAAGCCTCTGCCCCGTACTTGTCACAGCTGGGTCATGCACGATCAGGAGCCCCGGCTCTGAGGACATTCGTCCAGGCAGCTGCCACTGGGCACCCAGCTGGGCCGGTCTCTGGCTTCTTCCAGCAGCCCAGTGGTGCGTGCGCCATCTTGGACACACCTGTCCAGAAGAAAGTCCCGGCAGGCGAATCTGTGGGCCAAGGGCACAGGCATTGAAATTTTGAAAGACTCCACCACGTAGCTCTCTGGGGACCCTGACCCAGTTTGCACTTCCTCCAGGGTGCGAGGACGGGCGACTTGACTGTGAATGTGAGTCACAGAAGTGCGGCTCCCTGGCTGGGGCTGTCTGACTCGCGATGTACGTGCAT